CAAGGTTTTAACTGTTCAAGTATTGATACCGGCAGTGTATAAGAATAATATATAAGAATTCAGTTCGTACCTCACAGGAAACAGATCCGAACCCACGATCCCGGCTTCCGAGCGAGCGAAGACAGTGCATGCCTTAGACCGCTCGGCTACCGTGACCGGCCCAAGGACAGCTTTACCTTTACATTATTTTCTCAACAAGCACTGCGAACCAAACTCACCACACCGGAGATCCCATTGAACACACAGGGACTTTTCTTCCGTAAGGTTGCCTATTCAAAGAATGACGTGCCCGGAAAGACGTTTCAGACAAAGCACAAAAGCTGTGGACACCATCCGCCTCTACACGCACGCACGCACGCACGCACACACCTGAAAGCATAAGATTTTTTTTTCATTTGCACCTCACGTTAATTGGAATTTACAGCTGAACAACAAATGTAAAATCTCCTGCATTTAATTAAGTACTAAGACATGAAGATGTATGGGGGAGTGAAGGAATAGTTCCACGCGTTCTTCACTTCGGGAACACATAGAGGTGAGTGCTGATCTTCACGTTCAGGATGCTTCATACCCCGTAAAAATTATCTTCTTTACCCACTGGACAGAACCATGGGTGGGCCCCAAGGCTGGTCTATAAAAGGTAATGCTATCCTTGTAACAGGCCATGAAGGCCCAGAGGGTTGTGGGACGTCGAGGCTCCCACATTTTCTAGAAAATCGGCTCAAAGATGGCGGTGAGGTCAGCCTTGCGCGCCGGCCGCCCTTTACCCCCAGGAAGATTCCTGGTACTCATTTCTGTTAACAGGCTGAGTCGACCGCAGAGCCATAGTGCGGCTGGAAGGATTAGGTCAATTGAAAAAATCCACCTCATAGGAACTCGAATCCGCGACCTTCCGGCTTATAGCATAATGCCTCAACCAACTACGTTACGGCGTGTCCCCGCAGGGCTGGGCTATACGCTGTCGAAATAATAATAAAAAAATACTGTCCCTTATGGGAATCGAACCACGATTACTCGGTCGTGCAGTTTGTAGGCTAGTCGCTACACTGAGAAAGGGCGTGGGGTGGTGGAGATTTAAGAGTGAAGACATAATGAAACGAGTAACTCCGATGTATGTATACCAGTACTGTCACGCAGATCTGAACAACACAGTAATGAACATGCAACATACTTAGGCAGTTCAGGAAACCAACAGTGACACATTTTACGAAAATATCACCACGGAAAGGATCTGAACAACAACAAGAAGGCACTCATTTTCATCGTAATTAATTTCATTATATATACTCCGTGGCCTTAGTCCGCAAGCGAACTACACCGACCGAGCGACCGCCGCTTGTCGGCCAAGTTAGTGCAAACTTTTCGGATATGGGTGTCATGTGGTCTGCGCAACGGTTCCCCATGGCCGTTAATCTAGGTTTTCTAGAGCGGAGCCGCTATTTCCTTGAAACAGCTCCTCAATTATCCTCACGAGGCTGAGTGGACCCCCTTTCAGACCCACTACTTCTCAGAAAATCTGGTAGCACCGGGAATCGAACCCGGTACCTATATATCTGTAGCCAGGAACTCTGACCACTAGAACACAGAGGCGGTCAGTGGAAGAACGAGTGTTAAGTAACTGCTCCCACCACAAGCTATGCGCGGGATTTGACTAGGAATGCGGGGCCTTGTTCGAAGTTACGTGACACTGTCTATAATTTTAACTCATTTTGTGCCATATTATTCTTTTTATTGCTAGTGGAGTGGGACTAAGGCCCTTGTACTACGGTCACTTCTGGCCTATTGTACCAGCCCCAGATGATAGCTGAGGGTGATTGTGGAGCAATTGGTGGAATGAAGATTGGCAGGGGAAACCGAAGTACTCGGAGAAAACCTGTCCCAGCGCCACTTTGTCCACCACAAATCCCACTTGACAAGACCCGGGATCGAACCCATGTCGCCGCGATGGGAAGCCAGCGACTAACCGCTTGAGCTATGGCGCGGCCATTTTGTGCTATAACTGGAAGGAGCTTCAACCCTGCTGACAACTGCCGCGGCGACTGTGCACACTCGTTCATAGCCCATGAAGACCGAAGCATGTAGTGCCAGCAAGTACATACAGTCGGAATGAGCAGACAAAAATATAACCATCATAAGACCTTAGACAATCTCTAAAGTGTTGTATGTAGAGGATGACACACAACATTTTAACTATAACACAGAGGAGCCGGAATAGCTCAGTCGGTATAGCGACAGGCTACGGGCTGGACGATCGGGGTTCGATTCCCGTCAGGGACAAGAGATTTTTCTCTACTCCACAGAGTCCAGACTGGCTCTAGGGCCCACCCAGCCTGCTGTGGCGAAGTTAGGAACAGTGGATCTATACCTCCGCTCCCCCAAGTCTTCATGGCATAGTGCTTACGGACAACTTTACCTTCAGCTTACTATAACGTGCCGGTAATACAATACAAAGCTACAGTTTGAGTTTCTGCTGTAGGGTGAGCATGGCTTACAGCAGCACTTTACAGTGCGTTAACGGCAATAATCACACTCTCTTTGCTTCTTGCCACACGCTTCGCCTTTTATTTTCTCAGCCGGAAACCCAGAGGACAGGTCAGAAACGTGGGCCGTATATATTTGTCCCGGTGGCTTGTTTGCCGTCCTGCCCAACACTGTATTTACAGTGCAGTGTGTACATACGCTTCCAGATACATTCCATTCGCAGAAACGACATTTACTAACAACTGGTATTTATCTATCAGCTGACTATGCTGCTATTTATCCCACATCTTCCACTTTCATTGTATACGTACAATACATTAATTGATTCGTAAATGTAAGGTAAAGTTGTCCCTGTGCTTAACTAATTAAGTACTACTCCATGAAGGCGTAAGAGGGGAGTGGATGTATAGATCCACATTCTCTTGACCTCGGCACTAGCTGGAGGTGAGTGGTCAGCTTTACGCCCCGGCCGCTTTATACCCGGGGAAAAAGTCCCCTTTACACATTGGATAGGAGGTTGGGTGGGCCCCAGAGCCGGTCTGGACGACGTGGAGAAGAGAAAGTTTTTGACCCCACTGGGACTCGAACTCCTACCCTTCGGTCGTCCAGTCCGTAGCCAGTCGCTATACCGACTGCGCTATCCTAGCTCCTATTAATAGATTCGTGCAGTCGGTATAATGACTGGCTACGGACTGGACGACCGAGGGGTAGAGTTCGAGTCCCAGTAGGGTCAAAAAGTTTCTCTTCTCCACATCGTCCAGACCGGCTCTGGGGCGCACCCAGCCTCCTATCCAAGGCGTAAAGCGACCGTGACGTGAAGCTAACCACTCACCTCCAGCTAGTGCCGAGGTCATGAAAATGTGGAACTATACAGCCTCTCCCCCCTACGCCTTCATGGCGCAGTGCTTAATTAGTTAAGCACAGGGACAGCTTTACATTTTTACAGATTAAAATACATAAACTATATTCTCCTATACTGAATTTGGTCAAAAGAATTGGAGTAGCGGTAACGGTCTGGGCTCCTAGTCGGGAGGTGCTAGGTTCGAAGCTCGGCCGGGACACATGATATTCTGTCTGAGGTGTTTCGGTTGTTCTCAGTACCTCCAAGAAGATACCGGGGCAGTGCATCAATTACGCCACAACCGCTTCCTTCCAAATCCCTTCCAACTCATCAATCATCTTGCTATTCTAAGCTACATAGACTAGCTACTGACAGCGTCACAAAAAATCTCACCGAATCTGAGATTTTCACAGCAGTGATATGTTCTGCGACGTGACGCCGTGTAGTCCGGTATAAATTTTGCTGACTGCATAATCTTCGACCTTGAAGATGAAGGCAGTATAGGCGTCAGACTGCTCTTCAAAAGGTTACATGAATCTCTGTTCCACTTGCTTAATCTGGGCCATCCGCCTTACAAACAGATTTGTTTATGTACACTAACAGGCACGGAGTAAGAACACATCGACCAGTCACTGTTCGGGCTGTACGGGAGGGAGGGGATATGACGTCACAATAGAACTGTACTCGCATGGCTGATCGATCTGAAGGTCTTGTCTCTGGTATCATTTATTGATGATGGCATCGGCAAAAGTTACTAAACCTCACAACGCCCATTTGTTCCCGGGGCTGAAATCCTCGTCTTGCGCTGAAATCTGCCCGAAGTAGAGAGAACTCTTCTTCCGTGTCCTTCGGTTCTCTTTCGTAATAACTCAGTAGGAAAATCTGAAGGGAAAAGTCCACTTGGTAGACATAGCAGTAAATGGAGCGATATAATTGAGTCTTAAAACTCAACAGGTACGACTAGGTTATGGGATGAAATGACCCAAGCAATCATGGTTCCTTTCCCGGCAGGGGCAAGGGAATTTCTGTTTTCCACCGGGTGCAGACCGGCTCTAGCAGCCACCCAACCTCCTGGGCAGCGGGCAATGAAAGCTTCTTCTTCGGGAGAAAGCAGCCGGAGCGTGAAACTGTTCATCTCCACAAAGTGCCAAAGGTAAGAATGCGTACATCTTTACGCTTAACTAAGCACACGAATTGTTTTTCCTTTATCGTAAATAAAAATGGTGTGAGGGTGTGGTCTGGACTTATCTGGCTCAGGATAGGGACCAGTGAACACGACAACGATCTTTCGGCTTCTACAAAATGTTGGGAATTTCTTGAGCAACTGAGCGATTCTCAGTTTCACAACAAGGACTGGTCTAAGAAATTTTGTTGGACAATACTGTACGAGCCGATTGTAACACGATGTTAACCAAGCGGAAGATTTTAATATTACAGAAAAAAGGAAAAATCAGCTTTCGTTGAAAACAAGTTTTCTTCTTCAACAAGTAATCTCTCATCCCCACCCCCTCAATGTCTTACCCTCTCAAGCCTCAGGGGAGTCGAGAATATTGACTTACATTGGTATTTTGATGCAGGAGACAAAAAGGGACATAAAGGAAAATAAACCCGATAACCAACTCATGAAACTGAGTCTTTCTTGAGAAGCCAACGTTGCACGAAAACTGGAATTCAGAGACGTTCATGAAACCCATGTTCAGAAGAGCCCGCACTGGTCCTTACCCTGAACTAGATGAATCCAGTCCACAAATTTCCTCCATATTCTTTTAAGATATGTTTAGTGTTATTCTTCCATCTATCATACAGGAGCTCCCAAAGGTCTCCCTTCACTTTTCCTGCCGCAACTCTGTATACACGTCAGATCTCTACCATGCGTGCTACAAGCCCTGTCAATTTCATCCCTCTTTGCCTCATAATTTTAATATTTGTCGAAGAGCACAAATTATGAAACTGCTCAACACGAAATTCTCTCCAGCTCCTTGTTATTTCCTTCCTCTTGGGCCCGAATATTCTCGTCAGCACCCTGTTCTAAAACATCCTCACTTTC